CCACTTCCTGTTGTAACGAAGCGCGATTCCACTTCCTGTTGTAACGATCGCTGTGAATGACCGGGCCGTGTTTCCTCAGAGCCACCATCGTGTCTCTGGAGAACTTCGAGCAGCGTCTGAACCAGGCCATCGAGAGGAACGCCTTCCTGGAGAGCGAGCTGGATGAGAAGGAGTCGCTCCTGGTCTCGGTGCAACGACTGAAGGACGAAGCCAGAGGTGATCGTTGGACGAACCCCTCCACCGACTGATCGATCATTGATCAGCTCTGACTGAATCATCTGCGTTTTGTTTCTAAGACCTGCGGCAGGAGCTGGCTGTGCGCGAGCGGCAGGTGGACGTAAACAGGATGTCGGCTCCGAGCTCGCCCACGCAGGACAACATGAAGACGGACTCGTCCGTTCAGGCGTCCCTCTCCCTCCCTGCTACCCCGCTGAGCAGAGGTCTAGACAACAGCTTTGCCAACGCCACAGGTAGCTGCACCTGAACGCATCGTTTCCTCCTCCTGCATCCGAGCTGCTCTCTGGATCTTTGTGCGATCTGTTAGAGCTCAGTCTGCGACAAGATGACTCTCAGCTACTACCACACCAGAATCTAGCTCCGTATCTGTAAAAACTGAGTTAAAGTCAATGTAATGCTAATGTTGATTAGCTCTGGCAGCCATCTTTAGTCAGGCTGACCCACAGAGTTTTAGATGCTCAGGTCAGATTTTGTTCTTCGGGATCTGACATTAATGACGACTAAATAATCGGAATCATTGAAGAATTACGTCCATTTATTACGTTCTGGGTTTATTAAAGTCCATTCAGCAGTTCATGAGAGATTTTCATCCAACACACAGACAGACACAGATGCAGTTACATGATCGCATAGGCCTGTCGCGATAAACAATAAATCAATTAATCAATTAATCACATGATAAATTAAAATTATCTACCTCATTTTCATTATCAGTTTTATCGTTTCTTCATGTCTCTCTCTTTCTACTGAAGACACTGGATGACAAAAAGGCTTAACTCCGGTTCTTCACTGACCCCTCCCTTTCTCTTTAAAATCTGTTATAACGATCCAAAAATCACACTTTTGGATCGTTAAAAGCAGCTAAACTGAGAAGCTAAGCTACGAGCTAAGCTAACAGGCCGACCTCAGAAAAAAAACTCTGTCTTGTCGAAACTTCAAAATTCACGGTTGAAACCCGTGTCTTTGTGTAAAAAGTTGTTTTTTCTCTGCAAAAAGAAGCTGAGAACTTGTTTACTGATTTTTTTATTAAAAGCTTTGTGTGAAAAATGCTAAAGAGCTCAAACCACACCGAGCATCTTCCATTTTGAGAACCGAAGAGAGACAGCCCACGTCACGTCAAGGGGCCTCCCTCTCATTTTTCTTAAAGAGACACTGCTCGCTCCCTCACTATCCATCCTTCGGTTCAAACCGTCTTATACTGCTGTCTGGTGGTCAAAAAAGGTACTACACTACAAACAAATTAACCAACATTTTTTTGACAATAATTACTAATTATTGTCAAATTTCAAACAATATTATCGTTTATCGCAACAATTTCTGAGACAATTAATCGCCCAGCAACATTTATTATCGTGACAGGTCTATCCGCCCACTTTCCACGGCAGCAAGCGATCGTCACTCGGTGCTGTGTGATGGTGCAAAAACTGAACAGGAAACAAGTTTAAGTTATTTAATTTTTTAATCTAGCTTTTTTTTCCACAGTTCTGCCCAACGGCTACGGCAGCAACTCTCCTTTGACTCCCTCCGCCAGAATATCGGCGCTCAACATCGTCAGCGATTTACTCCAGAAAGTCGGGGTGAGCTCCTCCTTCCTGTTTTTTTTTTTTCTTTCATCTTCTTGTAGAAACTCTCCTCCTCATCACTCGTCCTCCTCCATCAGGCTCTGGAGTCGAAGCTCGCCGCCTGCAGGAACTTCGCCAAAGACCAGAAATCCAGGAAGGCGTTCGCCCTCGACAACGGCAACGTGCTGAACGCCAACACCGCCTTCCACGTGTCGTACTTCGACAAAGCGTAAGTGCAGCACAGAAACGCTTCACGCATGATTTTGACCAGGAGGAGGATCTCAGAGCGTTTGTGCGTTTTGTCCCAGCAGAACTGAGAGGGTCACGTTCCCGGCGTTAATCCTGGGTAATCTCGGCTCGTTTGTCCGTTTAATCTAACGAACCTGTTCTAATCTCGTAGAAACGGCCGTGAGTGTGGGCTAGATACTGAGCTGATCGGTGGTGGTGATGTCAGTGAGTCCGTGTGTTTTTGTTTGACGCTCTTCCTGTTGTTACAGCGGGACGATGAACAGGTTCGAACCCGGTCCCTTCACGGCCATCACCGCCGCCCCCCTGCTGCCTTTTCTCCAGGCTAAGGCTCCGCCCCCTCACCGTGCACCTCTGTAAGACACAAACACTCAACGCAGCAGCTGGTTTGTTCACCTCTGGTGCTTCGTTTCTGCTTTAATGGCTCCACGGGTAAATTTAGGTGCTTCGGCTGTTTTTCTTCTCTGGTTCAGATGAAAACGTTTTGTCTCTAAACTGTTTCAACGACTGCACTAGATTAACAAAATGGACAAATTATGCAACGGCTGTTTGATATACAGTCAGAAATAATGTGTTTTATTTGACAAAAACAGTTAAAAGCTCATTTTGTAAAATGTGAATAGGCCTGTCGCGATAAACAATAAATCAATGAATCGACGATAAATGAAAATTATCAACCTCATTATCTTTTATCAATTTTATCGTTTCTTCGTGTCTCTCTTTCTACTGAAGACACCGGATGACAAAAGGCTCAACTCCGGTTCTTCACTGACCCCTCCCTTTCTCTTTAAAATCTGTTTTAACGTCCAACATCGCGCTTTTGGATCGTTAAAAGCAGCTAAGCTGAGAAGCTAAGCTACGAGCTAAGCTAACAGGCCGACTTTGAAGAAGAAGCTGAGAACTTGGTTAATGATTTTTGTAATTAAAAGCTTTGTGTGACAAATGCTATGCTAAAATGCTAAAGAGCTCAAACCACACCGAGCGTACGCCATTTTGGGAACCGAAGAGAGACGGCCCATGTCACGTCAAGGGGGCCTCCCTCCCATTTTTCATCCGGTGGTCAAAAAAGGTACTACACTCAAATTAACCAATATTTCTTCTTAAATTTGACAATAATGACTAATTATTGTCAAATTTCAAACAATATTATCGTTTATCGCAATAATTTTCGAGAAAATTAATCGCCCAGCAAAATTTATTATCGTGACAGGCCTAGTTGTGAACGGGGCGCGTCTTTGTGAGTTCCTGTTTAAAACGCCAAATGTTTAAATATTAACCTGCTGTTTAGGATTCAAACCGTTACCGTGTGACTTTTGTATTTATTAAAATGTATCGGCTTGTAAACGGTTTCAGCGCTGAAGTGTTTGAACTTTGTGACATGAAGTGTTTACGGGTCATATTGATCGTTGTTACGAGTTAAAGAAGAAAATGAAGCCGTGTTGGTGTTCAGACCTGTCTTTACTGTTTTAACCTTTTTTAATTAATTCATAACGAAGCACTTGTCATTTTAAAGTGATGACTCGTTTATGGTTCGTGCTTTTGTTTTTTAATAGCATGTATCAATTAAAAGTGATAAGTCGTTCGTTTTGTGGGATTTTATTAATGTAAAGGGAGTCTGTAGCATACACCGTATTTTTCAGATTATAAGGCGCATTAAGCGAAACAAAATAGATAAGTCAAACTTTATTCAACTCAATCACAATAACCACATAAAATTGATTCTTAAGTACAACCAGAATTAATGCACAAAACTCGATGTCGATTTTTGAGAAAATTAAAGGATTTTAAGTTTGCCTTATAGTCCGAAAAATACGGTAAGCTAAAACGTTATGTTTAAAAATTTACACTTTTTGTGGCCTCCTTTTCTGTTTTCAACCAGTGAAACCAGTTTTGTCAGCTGCTGTTTTACTTGTTCTTTCCAAACAAAGACAACTCACACTCATCGTAGCACAAAGTAAGGTAGTAACAGAGCCAAAATGTCCACCTGTGAAAAGGCAAGCCAGCTGTGGCTCAGTAATGTGATGAAGTGATGACATCTGGTCTGTGTGACCAAACAACAGACTCATTACTGAGGGAAGATTAATGATGACGCACAGAAACTTTTTAGTTAGAAAAAATTACGAGTCGAGCAACACGAGGGAGACGTCTGTCACGTTTAATGCTCCGAGTCTTTTGGTTCCTCTGCGCTCGCTTCGTTTAAAGCTCGTCTGCGCGGGACACGGTCGGCTCCATCTGCCACTTTCGAATGACCAGTCGGCTTAACGACAAACTGGTCTGTGCGGCCATTTTGAGGAACTGTTTCCTGAAAGAACCCACAGAAAACGGGTCAAGAAGGGGGACGTCCACAGAAGAGCCACGCTGGACGGAAAGTCCCAACAGTTTGGATGAGCTGGAACAAATTTACTCAGATAGAGTAACAAGGAGAAGACTGATCAGAGATGCAGCCAAGAGGCCCATGATCACTCTGGATGAACTGCAGAGATCTACAGCTGAGGTGGGAGAGTCTGTCCATAGGACAACAATCAGTCGTACGCTGCACAAATCTGGCCTTTATGGAAGAGTGGCAAGAAGAAAGCCATTTCTCAAAGATATCCATAAAAAGTGTAGTTTAAAGTTTGTCACCTGGGAGACACCAAACATGTGGAAGAAGGTGCTCTGGTCACATGAAACCAAAATCCAACTGTATGGCCACAATGCAAAACAATATGTTTGGAGTAAAAGCAACACAGCTCATCTCCCTGAACACACCATCCCCACTGTCAAACATGGTGGTGGCAGCATCATGGTTTGGGCCTGCTTTTCATCAGCAGGGACAGGGAAGATGGTCAGAATTGATGGGAAGATGGATGGGGCCAAATACAGGACCATTCTGGAAGAAAACCTGTTTGAGTCTGCAAGAGACCTGAGACTGGGACAGAGATTTATCTTCCAACAAGACAATGATCCAAAACATAAAGACAAATCTACAATGGAATGGTTCACAAATAAACGTATCCAGGTGTTGGAATGGCCAAGTCAAAGTCCAGACCTGAATCCAATCCAGAATCTGTGGAAAGAGCTGAAGACTGCTGTTCACAGACACTCTCCATCCAACCTCACTGAGCTCCAGATGTTTTGCAGGAAGAATGGGCAGAACTTCAGTGTCTCCATGTTCAAAACTGATGGAGACAAACCCCAAGAGACTTGCAGCTGGAACTGCAGCAAGAGGCGGAGCTACAAAGTATTAACGCAAGGGGGCCAAATAATATTGCACGCCCCACTTTTCAGTTTTTTATTTGTTAAAAAGTTCAACACATCCAATAAATTTCATTCCACTTCACGATTGTGTCCCAGTTGTTGTTGATTCTTCACAAAAAATTAAAATGTTATATCTTTATGTTTGAAGCCTGAAATGTAACAAAAGGTTGAAAAGTTCAAGGGGCCGAATACTTTCACAAGGAACTGTAAACCTGTCGAGCTGCACCGTTTGATAAACTTCAGGAGAATCTTTACGTTTGATTTGAGCAGCTTTAATTATAACGGTTTTTAATAAAACATTTTATCGTCCATTCAGAACCTGCGGTGACTCTTTAGATTGTAGCTGGTGTTGCCCTCCTGCTGGACAAACATGATCGCAGGTTCAGTTGAATGGCCGCAGACTGGAGGGACAGCATTCCAGTCTTTACACCGCCCTGTTGTCTGAGCCCATCCACCTGCTCGGCTGCAGAACGTTTCTGATGTTTCAGTCGCTCCCCGCCTGCCGCCGCTTCTTCTCTGCCACCTCCTCCGTCGGCCTCATCTCCAGGAACTCCAACCTCTTGGCTTCGTTACGCGCACGCTCCTGGGCCCTGAGCTCCACCACATCCTCCAAGAACCTGTGTCTGCACGAGGGAGGAAAACAACTTTATTTACAATCATCAGAGGAACAACAACGCTGCATGGCACCGCTACAACCTGATACTGGTACCTTTCATAAACTATCAAATATTTTGGATGAAATATGAATCTTGAGTTTTCTGAAATGACTGTTTATACCTCTAAAAATATCTTAAAAGCACTTAGCACTAAAGCACTAAAAAATAAAGTTTCACAGTTTCACTTCATCTGTTTATTATAAAAACTTGTGCTAAAATGGAATTTGTTCTATTCATTTCTGATTACAAACATAAACTATTACTCAAGACCAAAAGCTTTTTCTTTTTTTTTTTTTTTTAAGTAAAAACACATATTTAAAGGGAAGAGGTCACCTGTTAAAGAAAATAGTGGCCAGTCCAACCAGCACGGTTCCGAACAGAACCGGTTTTGTGAGACGTTTTCTGGCGGACAGCTTGTACGGCTTCATTGTTGCTGATTGTTTTTGGCTTCGGACCGAAAAACAAAACCGTAAAAACTCCCTTACATTAGTGTTTTAATCAGGTTGACCTTCCTTTATGCGCGTTAACTCGTGCAAAGAGCAGGAACACAAACACGCCTCCCGATCCTGCAGTTACTCCCGACTTCCGGTGTTGTATCGAACTACGTTGACTAAACAAAATCCGTTTCCTGCTCTTTTTTTTTTTTCGCATTTATGATTCTGTAGTTGCTTCGATGCACGAATATACGACTTTGTGAACATATTTGTTGCAATTTTTCATATATTATTAAAATTCAGTGGCAAAGAACGCGAGCTTTTTCCCCTTTTGGATGGGGCGGAGCTAAATAAGCGGCAGATCTCAATGGGTACACAAGTTTCGATACAACATGGGAACTATATTTGCACTCCCGCAGTCTTTCGTCGAACATATTTCAGAGACGGACTCAGACGGTTAAATGGATTTAAACAAACGCTAAAAGAGTAAGTGTTTTATTTATTTAATATTATTAACGACTAACCACAGATAAAACATTCCGTTTGAGGTTTTTTTTTTTACTTGTTGACAGTTTATCTGAGCTGGAAACTGAAAGATGAGGAGGAATGAGTCAACCGAAGTTTCTGAGCGGTTTGAATATTTACAAACTCTGGTGACTGAATTTCAGGACACGGACAGCGAAGGTAAGAACAGCTTCTATCTCCCGTCTCTCATTAAAAACTACCAAAAGTTTACTTCACAACATCGAGTCCCTGAACGCATCACTGAAAGCATAAAAGCAGCTCCTTAGCATCAAATCCTTCCAGATGTTATGGATGACATGAGTTAACTTTTTTTATCTGCCTGGATATTTGAGCTTACAAACCTAACTTCTTATATCATGTTCACTTTGTTTCTCTCCTCACAGATTAACACCGATGTGAGGAATTTAAAATATCGTTAAGTTTTACTGATATATATTTATGTTTTCTAAAATAATATAAATTCAATATTTTTTAGGTTTTTGTCCAATTAGCTTTACCTTTAAATGTGTCAGACCTGCAACACCCCCCCAACACCAATAAACAAACAACCCTAAAGACCTTATTTTACTCATTTATTTATTTATTATCATTGTCCTAGTAAGATTTTATTCTGTTTAACTGTTCAAGGCCGATCTGGAGACGTGGATTATAAATGAGCTCAGACTATAAATGTTATAGTGAACTGTATTAATCCTTTACACTTGTTCCTACATAAATAAACATGATAAAATATACCATATTTTTCAGCCTATAAGTCATTTTTTTTTGCATAATTTGCATGTCCTGCAACTTTTATACCGAAGCAACTTATTTATGGATTTTTCCATATTTATAAACCAATTTTTGTCTGATATGATCGTTGTTACTGCAGATGCAGAATTTGATGATTCTGCATTTTATTTACAGATAAATCTCATTTTTAAAACTCTGCTCATGACTTCGGAGTGGAATGAATGTGAAGTTTTTTATTTATTAGGTTTTCTTTCAGTCATTTTAAATCTTGTTCTGGTTCAGAGGCCAAGCAGCAGGTTCTGGCGAACCTCGCCAACTTTGCCTACGACCCAAAGAACTCTGAGCATCTCCTGCAGCTGCAGGTGCCGGACCTGTTCCTGGACATGCTGACCGAGGACAACGAGGACTTTGTGGAGTTCGGGATGGGTGAGTTCAGCCAGAGACGGACGGTGTCCCTTTGTGAGAATCGTCTCATCGCTGCACGTCGTGTCCTCAGGGGGGCTGTGTAACCTCAGCATGGACCCCGACTGCAGAGACGTCATCCTGCAGAGCGGCGGCGTCGGCTCCGTCACCAACTGCCTGTCCAGCCGGAGGGAGGAGACGGTGCTGTCGGCCATCACCACCCTCATGAACCTCACCACGGCGGCCACGCGCGCTCAGACCACCGAGCCGGGCGTCCTGCAGTGCATGCTGCGCTTCTCGCTCGCAGAGAGCCCCCGTCTGCGCAGCCTGGCCTCCGTCTTCCTGCAGGACTGCTGCAGCCGGGAGCAGGTGAGGCGGGCCGAGCAGCAGATGCAGGGCCCGCAGACGGCGGTCGGGATCCCGCTGCCCAAAGACTGACGAGTCCGCGTCACTCCTGCTGCTCAGACACGTTCAAAACGTCCTGAAGGGACACCGGGGGACAAAACTGTCCCCGAGAGGACCGGCTCAGGTCTTCAGAGTCTCTCACCTACTTGGAAACAAAAAACCTCCTCAGAGGTGGAGCAGGAACAAACCGTTCTAAATCTTCACCCCGCAGCGTCGTGAGAACAAATTTAAACAAAGCAGCAGAAAATATGTTCGTAAAACCACCGGCAGCTTCCTGCGAGGAAATCATTCATCCAACCTTTACAATTTATACAGGTTAAATTCATCCAACCTTTACAGTTTATACAGGTTAA